ATTTAACTTCAAAATCTACTTATCAATTCTTTTCCAAAATTTCATATAAAAACTCCAAATCTTTAATCTCTCTTAACCCCTCCATTTTTTGATTTTACCATAACCCAAGCTTTCCTTAAGTTTATCCATCAACTAAAGATCAAAACCAAACTTAAAATTCAAATAATAATCAACTAATAAAACTCTCACCTTTGCCTTGCTCTCCCAGGTATGAAGAAGAAGAAATGAGAAGAGAACTCTGGATGTTTCTCGCATTTCCCACGTTTATATTACTCAAAAAGGGGAGATAAAAATTTTTCCTACGAAAAGACCATTTTACCCCTTTAGTTAATCCATCTTTACTATTTAATCCAAAATCCTTTACTTAAGTCCCTGAACTTTTAGCTTATTTCAGAATTGAGCACAAATTTTCCAAATTTTCCAAATTTTACATTTTAGTCACTGACCCGGCTTGTAGGATGTTACAATGCCCTGTCCCAAACGATGGTGATGTAAGTTAAACAGGGGGTAAAATGGTTTTCCCGAGGCCTTTTCATCAGTTTTAAGACGACCGGTGGCGATGAAAGTTCTCGGGACACGGCAAGGAGTGACGAGTAGCTTTCAACTGGGCGGTGTTGCTACGCAATGAGCATTGGGCGCGTGGCGGTTGTCTTGGAGCGTGGAGGTTGCTGTTGATTAGGGTGAAACTCTAGCTTGGGTTAATCCGGGTCGTTGGATCAAATTTGATCCAACAGTTGAGATCCTTGGCGACGACTGGAAAGGGGGAACCCTAGGGTTTCTCAAACCCTATATTTCAGGACTACTGTTGGTTCGAGCCATCTTCAGTTGGTCCATTTGTAATTTTAATTTTTTTGGGCATGTAACAGAAAATAATTAAATAAATTTTAGTGCATTATATATATATATACACGTGTATAATAACCTAAATAATTAATTATATATATGTAACTCGGACGAAAAATAGAATGAGACCCCCTCCGGACAAAATGAGCATCTACAATGTTTTTTGTTTTTTTTTGTTACAAAAAAGTTTAGGTCGGGGATGGTCCCTCAGTCTAGAGTCAGAGTATATCTAAGACCTAATTGAGATTTATATAGGAATTTATAGATTACCCACCAAGAATAACAGTGGTAGGATTCGAACTTGACCTTACAAACTTAAATTCTTGAATCCCAACCACTTATACCAACACTCGTTGGCAACTTATATTTATGTTGTGATACAATTATTTATTTAAGTAAATTGATACTTGGTGGTCCTATTGATTGGAAATTAAGAAAGGGTTTAGTTTGTTTTATATAAGCGGGACAATTATTTGATATATTCAGTTGATGCTTTTTATATCTACAAGTTGTCTTAATCTATTGTTTTATTTGTTTATTCAAATATTAATTAAAAACATATAATAATAAATTACAACTACTTATAAATTAAAATAATATTATAAATGTATTGAATACTAATTTATATAACTAATAACCAATTGGTCTAGTGAAATGAGACACTAAATTCCTTAAGCAAGATTAGGAATTAAAATTTTGATGTTTGCGAATGGAGCAAACTGGGTTGAGAGAGTTATCATATAATGGGTCTCTCAAAATCCAATTTGAAATAGTTGATCAATATATCAAATATTAAATGTTAAACAAAAATACTAATTTATATATATTGGTTGTCAGAAAATCTTTTAATATTTTTAATGAATCGTCTGAGCATTTACTCTAAACCCATGTCTATACTAGTGGCGGGTGTACCTATACTTTTAAGTGTCTATCTTGAAATACTAATTTATTCATATTAGTTGTCTATTTTATTGATGATGTCTACCTTAAAATTTTATTTATGTTTGCATCATACAAAAAAATTATATTATTAATACATGTGTACCTACCCGAAAAATATTTCTAATCCGCCAATGGTGTATACCTACTTATCACTTAATAGAGAATATTTTTTAACACTTTTTATATTGATTTAGGTATATAATCCTTTGAAATTATCATTTTTAAACAATCTAACTACTTGTTATTCCTTGAAGTCCCAAGTTCGAGCATTAGGAATGTCAGTGGTATGATCGTTCAAAATCAAAAGGTTGAGAGTTATCTTTAAATAGATATTACCTTATACTTATCCCAAATTAATAAAAAAAAATGAATGACGAGGATTAAACTTAACTTCTATTCTCTTAGGGGAGGTGGTTTTTGGTGTTTACTATCCATTATTTGATACTCGTGCTTGTTTTTATGCATTTTCTTTATTTTGTAGGTTATTTTATTTGTTCCAGATTTTTGTACCATTTTTAACTCTGATTAGTCCAAGTCTTTACCATTGGTGGGTGATAGGGGAGCAGAAGCTTGAATCAATTTAAAGAAAGGAACAAAAGAAATTGAAGAAAGAAATATACAATTAGCTGTGTTGAAACCAACAATCATAATTTCCCTTTAATCGAATCTAAAAATCAAGTATAAAATAATCAAGGCTCAAATACCGAACGTCGCATCAGTCATTGAAGTGGCGCCCAACATAGATTTATTTATAGGGAATTCATTTGAGCTTGAATAAAGTTGGAAAATTTCATAAAATTGTAGATCGGAAGAACATCCATCTTTGTCGACCGAATAGAACTTGGATCACGCAACTAAATCGGTAATCATGCTTAGGGGTATTTACGTCTTTTCATATAAATCATACAAAATTATTAACTTTGTAAAAATGGTGTATTCCGTAACTTGGATATTTGCATTAGCGCATTGCATTTACATTTCCGAAGTTTTTTTTTTTTTTTTGGTCTTGTTGAATTATCATATCTGAGGGACATGATTTTGTCTTGTTGAATTATCATATTTACTCAGTCACCAACTAATTTTAATCGACTTAAATCTACTTTGGATTTGGCGTTTTCAATTGTCATCTAATTGCTTTATCCATTTTTCGTGATTACTGAGGTTTATAAAAGCTTCATCATTAAACCCATCCCCGTAGGAAAATAGATAATGGACTTTTAACCGGAAGCCAATCCCCTTAGGAAAGGAAAATTTTCAATCGACTAGAAAGAGTTGTGCTTAATTGATGATAAAATACTCTCTGTTGGCATATCTATTGCAGTTCACTTTGTCATTTCATAGTTTTTTATTGGGTAAACTATGCATTCAATATCTAACCTATCAGTTTTTATCTTATTTAATACTTAAACTTTCAATTGTTTTTCAAATCATACATAAAGTTTAGTTTTTGTTTCATTTTAGTATCCCACCATTAAGTTTTTTTTTTTTTGAACATTTAGGTACTAAAACGGATCAAAACTTATAGTTTAGGTATTAAACGCGTTAAGTTTTTAACGACGGATATTTAAATAAAACAAAAAAAGTAAACTTTAGGTATAATTTAAAAAAAAATAAAAGTCTATGTATAAAACATATCAAAACTAATAGTTTAGGTACTAAAGGCGTAATTTACCCTTTTTATTTTACATTCTCTCCACCTTACTCTTCTATATTTATTTACTTTTAGGGGGTGTTTGGTACAAGCAACGTCTGGAATGCAATAGGAATATTGTATTTCTTATTTGGATTATTTAGCAATAATTTAAGATTATAATGTTTGGATAGAGAAATATAAGATTATTTGAATGCATATTTTATTAATTTATCTGTGATTTATATTTTTTTTCTTTCAAAAAGTTAAAATTTAATATTAAATTATAATTATTTAAATAAAATTTCATAAAATTATTTTAATCGTTACATTATTTAGCTTTTGAGAAAAAATACATTTAATATATATTTAATATAATTAGTATATCAAACTTATATTTTTAAATAATTTCCATAAGTATTATATTTATTATAAAATATAATATAATATAAAAATAATAAATTTATGATCTGGAGTGGATAAAGATATTATTTTTCAATGTATAAGATCCATTTTTTAATAACTCAAAATTAAATATTATTTTAAATAATTACATTTTTTACAATAATTTCATTTTTCACCTCATAAAATTACAAATAATTAATATATTGAATATTAAAAACATAAAATAATTTTAACAACTCAAATTTATTAATATTTTACTAAATCAAACTCTTTGTATATTATTGTATTTATAATTTTGAAAAAAACACGAAAAATATGAATTGAGAATGATGATTATAAGAAAAATTCATTATTCCAAAGGTATTTTTGTCCAAAGTGATGGAAATTGTGTAATACCAAAAAATTTTAGTAACGACATCCCCACCATTTTAACAAAAAATACTATTATTGAGAAAAGATTATTCCCTGATAATAAATAATATTTTCCGTAAACCAAACGTGGGAATACAATTTCGGAAAGGATTATTCTCTTTAATAATGATCTTTTCCGCGAGCTAAACGGCTACTAAAAAATTATTGCTTTAATAATAATTTTTTTCGCGAACTAAACGTCAGGTGACTGACGAAATAATTTAGCATTAAAAATCCATGAAAATAACATACATTTCTTGAAGTTGAAAGAAAGGGACGGAAACCTGAAACTGAAAGATCCACTCCATACAACGTTTCTCATACATTTCTTAATTAAAACTACATCTTACCAGTTGCTTTTCAATACTGAATTAGCATAAGAAATTAACAATGCAGTATGTCTCACCTGCATAAAACCACACCTTTCCAACAAAGACATCATAACCGACTCAAGGGCTCACGTAAAAAACATGTATGTATGAATATATGTATAAGTGTGTATAAGTATGTATGTATACGTACACACAATGTAGTATATTTCACCTGCATAAAACCAAAGCTTTCCAACAAAGACATCACAACTGACTCAAGGGCTCATGTAAAAAATATGTATGTATGAATATATGCATATGTATGTATACATACACACACGTATAGGTGCGAATCAGATCAATCGGATTTTACATCTAGTTGAATCCGGATGAAATCCATACCATCTAATAAAAAATATCATTCGAATTTCATCAATGAAGCAATTCCAGTTTTCATACTTGAATTGTAGCAACTATATAGCAGAACAAGTATCATAAAAATTATAACAGTACATTGCAGAGCTTTTCTCTATAAGCAAAAATAACTTTCAAATAAAAATGTAATAAATCACTAGCAATAATTTTCCTACAGCAAATGCTTATACCCCAATCTTTTGTTCAAGAAGAATATTGTAACTAAGAATATCCGTAGCGTAGTTCGATTTGTAAAGTCGCAAAACTTACAAGAGATGAGGGTCCATTCAGTATCCTTCGAAGTCCTCATCGTACGCCGAGTAACCTGTTGCAGTTGCTCTGAAAAGCATTAAAAGGCAGTGTATCAGTGCATAATCGAACCATCCAGGCTTCCCATGTACCAGAACCTCAACAAAATGCATAACAATATTATCATCCCAAACCATCGGATTGTCTATCAAGCAAGCAAAGCAACATAGAAACAGATTAACCAACGATACCTTGGGAAAACAGGGCCGAAACTCTTCCGGAGGAATCATTCAGATTCACTTCGAACAGTATATATATTTCCGATTGTCCCGGCAATGCTAACTATTATAGCCAATATTAACATCAACCATGACAAAAGAAATTCTACTCTGCTCAACCTCAGCCTCTCATCCTGCTGACTTAGCCTCAATGCAAGGAGAGCTGGGAAAGTAAAACCAAGTGAAACAGCTGTTGTTGCACCTGTAAATTTGAAAGCTGTCCATATATTCGGGATCATAGTCGATCCGATATAAATAAGCATTAACAATATTATGGTTAATGCCAAAGATCTTTTCGGACTCTCTGTTAGAGGAGCCGATCCCTCGAACACCAAGCTATCCACGGTCTGCCGTAGGGAAAAGTGGATAACAGGAAAAACCAGAACCAAATGAAGAATGTAACCGACCCTGACAATGTAATTCAAAGCAGTGCTAAAATGAATTCCAAGATCCCTATCAAAGTTGGTCAAGACATCACCTTCAGTGTCCTTCCCAAAGAGAAAATACCCTGATATAGCTGTTGAGGCATAGACTACAACACAAATAGCAGTTGTGATCCTTCCAACCCGATTCATCTTCTGTGGAGATTGACCTTCGAGCTCATTATATATAGGTTGAATATTGAAATGGCAAACATAAGCATTCGTCATAACAGGGATAACTACTATGAACTCCCAAATTGCCATTTTCGAACCGAGATCTGGGGTCATCCTTGGAGGATCAATTTTCCCTTCAATGAGCTTAATGAACGCAACAGCAAAGCAAACCATGACGAAAACAACGGCGAGAGCAACCGAGGCAGCCGATGTCATGCTCAACGAATCGATCCTGTTTAACACGCAAAGTGGAGCAAGAAAAACAACAACAGCAGCCAAAATCAACAACTTCCTATGATCCCAAAAGCCATGTCCTAACCACTGATCGAAAACCCCAATATGACGATCTGAACCGGACATAACATCACCCATAATAATCAAATAAACTATCAAAACACCTCCATTGTTGACAATTATGCAAATCTCAGACAAAACCCTAGCAGTTCTTCCCATTGCAATCTGCACAACTTCCCCATAAGATCTAGCTTTACAAGAAACCGCATACCTAATCAACATCTCAACACTCATTTCAGACAAAATGCCAATCAGGATTATAAAAAAAATCCCCAAAACAACACCAAGAACCTTCATAGTGGCAGGTAAAGCCATGATTCCCGCACCAATAATGGAGGTGGTCAAGTTAAAAACAGCACCAGAAATACCAGACCCAGTATTGGGTTTACCTTGAACAAGGGAATAATCATCAAGATCTACATGAACATCAATATCATCATCACCATCGTTAAGATCATCATACTCATTAGCAACCTTGGGGTAGTTTACCCGGTTTCCATCATCAGAAAGGAGAGATTTCTGTTGGGATCTAAAATCCTGGGGCTCATTTTGCATTTGTAATTCTACATGGGAGCCTCTGGGAATAGCTGAATAATTACTATCCATTCTAAAACCAAAAAAAAAAAAAAGCTTGAAACTTTGCAGAGAACTCTCAGAAAAAATGGAATGTAGAGATTAAAGAAATTACAAAGAAATGGGGAGGAATTGAATTGAATTGAAATAAATGGATTTTGAAAGGGTCAAAGAGCAGATCCGTGGTGGGTCAACGTTTTGGGATGCTTCGTGTGGAGGAGAAACAGAGGATGAGAGAGCAATTTGTTGGAAATGAAGGAGTAGCCATTGGAGGAGATATTTTTAGACCAACTTTTCCATTTTGCCACGTCAGCTCTTTAACTTGGATCTAAAACTCCACATTTATTACTTTGCGGTATTCCGCCGTTTTCATTATTAAATTATTTAACAATTTAAATATATATATATATATATATATATATATATATATATATATATATATATATATATATATTAAAATGGATGGTAAAGTATATACATAGTTTCGACTATAAGATGATGTTTTGTTAAAAAATTTATTAATAAAAGAAATAAAATGATCTCCTGACTATAGAACATTGTTTTGTTGAGTCATTTAACTACTGATTATTCATATATCCAAACTCTTTTTTTTGGTTAAAAATTTGACGATAATCTGAGTTGGACGTTAATATTATTACTAGATATGATAAAATATGATTTTAAAATCTCAAACAACTATCATATCACAGTCAGTTAACGTTTAACTTAAACGACCATTAATTTTTAACAAAAAATGATGAGTTTAGAACATATGAATAATTGAGTGACTATTTTATAACTTTTAATAGTCGAGAGATTTAACAAAGCAAAATCTTATAGACCATTTATAATTTTCAATAGTTAAGGGACTCACTAAAACAATATCTTATAATCAAAGGATCATTTGTATATTGTACCCTAAAATGAATGATGATTATTTTCAAAATAAAAAAGTGTTTATTATATAAAGATTGTTTTTAAAATTTATCATATAATAAATTTAAATCATAAAATTAATTAAAATGAAAATTTTAACAATTTATATTTTACATTTAATTTTTTTAAACTGAGTTAAAATCTGTTTTACTTGCGATGTCAATTTAAAATAAATTATTGAAAATTAATAATATTAGTGATTTAATATTTTAAATATAATGTACGAATCAAACGACCTCGGTGATAAAAGAATCATTGTTATTTTTTCAGGTTCAAGCACCATGAATTTCAGGGGTGTGAGCGTTCAATATCAAATAATTGAGAATTATCTTTGAAAAGATATTACCTTATAATTATCTCATATTAATAAAAAAATATTTTAAATATGATTGATAATCTAAAATAAAATTATTCACTAGATTTTTTTCAACAAGCGTAGAAAATATTTAGTAGATAAATGATCTACTTATTAGTTCATAAAATACATTAATATGTTTGTTTTGTTTTGTTTTTTTAATAATATTATCTTTTAAAATTTATATTTATAAGTAGTATAATTATATATGATATTTAATTTTATACAAAATATCATATGTTTATAATTTAAATTTAAAATTTCCAATACATAATTCTTCGATTCATTAAGAAAATATTAGTTATAAGTTTTATATTAATAAAACATAAAAGTTAATAATCTTTTCTAATTATTAAATGACCAAGTTGTTGAACTTTTATTTCTGTTAGGGTAATTTACATTTCAATTCATTGAATTTAAATTTAAATTTTTATTTAGACAATACACTTTTAATCTAATTAAATTTAATTGAATTTTTTATTAATAAAATAAATCATTAATGTTGATTCTGTTAAATAATTATAACGAAAAAAATTTAACTGAGACTTTTATAATATACTTTTTACATATCATATCAAATAATATTTAATTAATAGTTTAATGCATTTCTTTTGTTAGAATTTATAGAGAAGTTTTTCTTTTGAATTTACTTCATGAAATATTTGAGAAAATTCTAACAAAAATATTTAAATTATCAATTAAACATTATTTGATGATATACGTAAAAATGTGTTAAATAAAAGTGTCAATTATAATTTTATTCGTTATAATTATTGAACGATATTACTATAAATAATTTAATTTATCAATAATAAAATTTGAATGATGTTATTTAAATAAATTAAAATTTGAAATTAAATTGAACAATTTAAAAGATGAATATCCTTCAAATATGGCCATATGGGTAATGAAATATATGAGTTCGCTTCTTTGATAACTGGTCAAATTCTATAATTAGTTCTTATATTATGAACACTTTATACATTTAGCCCTTATACTACAAATTATTCAATTTGTTATCCTTCATATATGGCCATATGGGTAACGAAATATATGAGTTGGCTTCTTTTATAACTGCTCAAATTCTATCATTAGTTCTTATATTTTTAAAAATAAAAAATTTATTTTTTTATCTAAACAGGGAAAAACAATTTAATTAAATTACAAGAGCTTAAAACGATCAAATTAAGGAATAAGAATTATGGGCATGCTCGACACTGCAATGTAATTATGTCTCTATTCTCTATATTATGTTTGGTATAATTATTAAATTAAAGAATATAATAACACTTGTATTTACATAATTTCTCTCTCCTCGCCGTAACAATTGAAGAGTGTAATTACAATAATTATTCAAACACGTTATAACTATGTGAAAAAAAAAAATAATCAAATCTAATTACCATGCGACTTTCTAATATGTAATAAAAAAACTAATAGCAAAATTTGTCTTTTATATTTAATATTATTGTTTCAGTTAGGAATGAAATTTTAAATTTGAAAAAAATATAATGGTTAAAAAAGACTAAATTAAAATATAAGAACTAAATCTAAAACTTAGGCACAACACAGACTAAAACAAAAATTAAAATGATCATATTAGAGTGTATAGACTAAATACTTAAAGTGTACGGACAAAATTTGACCTATTAAAAAATGTAAAAAGAATGTAACAAATATAAGTAAACAATATTTTCTTTACTAAAATTAACACTTCTCGAACGCGAACAATAATTAAAGGGTAAAATGCACAAATGATCCTTCGATTATAGAATATTATTTTTTTTAATATCCAACTATTAGAAGTTATAAAATGATCTTTCGATTATAAGACGTTTTATTGAATTCCCCGACTATTAAAAGTTACGAAATAATCACCCGACTATTCGTGTATTCCAAATTTTTCTTTTTTCATTAAAAAAATTTAGCGACATTCTAAACTGGATATTAATTTGCCAGTTTAGACATGATAAAATTTAATTCCAAAATCTCAAACAACTATCACATCCCAATCAAAACATTAACTTCTTGTTCAGACAATTAACAATTTTTTAAAGAAAAAATACGAATTTAAAACATATGAACAATTAGATGACAATTTTTTCAACGTTTATAGTCAAAGGACCTTATATTAATAAAATAATAATAATAATCAAGAGACTCAACAAAACAAAGACTATTTTATAACTTTTAATAATCGAATGACTCAACAAAACACCTATAATTAAAAATTTAAAATTAAAAATTAGAATCACATGGGTCAATCGTTCAATATCATTCATTCATAGATCAAATCAGAATAATAGCTTCACAAACTGTTCATAAATACCACCCAAAGGACATTACTTACACCATCCTTCAATCTATTCACCGCAGCTCCGGAAGGGGCGGGTCAATTTTCACGTTGTGTCGAAGCCTCGACACAAATTCAGACATAAATACAAATATCGGACTTGCATATTCATGTCCGATACATTCAAACCCCGATAACATAATATACAGATTTACATCAAACATCTTCCATAAACATATATAGAGGTAAGATAAAAGACGTTCACAGAATATACAAACGCCACCAATGGGATTTACTCGGGGCGGAAGTTCACGAGATGGTGGAGGTGAGATGACTGAAGCTTCTTGATGTCGTTCGAGGTGACCTTGCAAGACTCCAAGTTCAGAGATCTTAAATTCTTCAGTGGCTTTAAGTGTCGCAACCCTGCACTTGTTATTCGAGAATTTGAAACATTCAGAGAGACCAATCCTGTCAACCCTGCATTTCATATGTAAGTGCGGTTAGTCTACAATGGCGACCTCGTTCATCACGTCTCTTATGTTATCTGGACATGGGAGTGAAGGTTGGTATAGGGAATAAATTTTTTCACACATCTGGAGGATCATTCCTCCATTCTCGTCTCTGAATATGAAACCGCTTAAAGGAAAACGAAGATCCCATATTAGCATATTTCCTCCCCACCCTCCCTGGAACAGAAAAAATATATTGTGTTAAGTCGGAGCCATACCGGAAATCATCTCCAATGCTTTATTCGTGAGGTTACAGTTCTGTGACAGATTCAGCAATGACAGGGATGAAAGGTCTTTAACATTCTTCACTCCAGCGTCGGTTAATCCTCCGCCACATATTTCCAAGGAGCGCAAGTTCTTGAAGTCTATTAAATAAGCAAACAGTTATATTAATTCTTCAAAAACACGTCAATAAGAGTACAAAAGATGATGTATGGAAAGCAAATAGGTGTTTAGATTTGTTATACAAACTCCTTAACTTAACGTACAGGCATAACAATCGAATTGTTAACGTAAAAAACTTGTCAATAACATAATGTATCCAAGTAAAACACACAGCCGACTCTTAACACCTTACAAGCTAAAATTATCGATATATTGGTTCTTGGCCATTCTGAGAAACTAGAAAGTCGAATATTTCTTGTTTTTGAAAGGAAATTCAAAATACAAAGTGTCATATATCATACTTCGCAGATAGTTTGTCCCTGAATTAGTGATACGAGCTCCGAAAAGATCAAGATGAGTCAGGCCAGTCAAACCTGTTTCAAAAGGAGAAAACACCAGATAAACAAAATCTTCAACGCTGAATGTATATTTAATAATATGCACATGATCCAAGGCTTTTACAAGTTAACTAGATGCTTCGCTGCATTAGTAGAGCTTTAAGATCAATAGCAAAATCTGTTTCTTGTTGACAGGTGTTTAGACAATTAACACAATCTCGCTGCATTAGTAGAGCTTTAAGATCAATAGCAAAATTTGTTTCTTGTTGACAGGTGTTTAGACAATTAACACAATCACTAGAAACACAGACATATTATTTCACAATGAATCATGTTAAACAAATAGGCACTCCGAACGGTCAT